GAGTATCGAAACTTTTCCAGAGCAAGAGTAAACATTCTGGGAAACCAAATCTTGTTCCTTAGCCTAATGTAGCATTTTAGCTAATGCTAATTATCGGTAGCTCCTGTAGCCTCTGACCCTGAACCATTTTATTATAAAATAAATATGTATATCTGGGAAAAAGCTAAAATAAATGATAATTAAATCTATGAATAAATAAATATATCTTGAAATACAAAATCATCACTGTTCACCCTTTTTCTAAACTCTGGGGGAAAAAAAGCTTAGAAGAGACATTTTTCACCATTAAAACATCATCATCATCATCATCATCATCATCATCATCGTCATCATCGTCATGGTAAACATGGCCGCCACCAACAAGGCCAAACTGTGGGGTTCAGGATCCGAATGTTCCAGATTTTCCTCCTGGGAAACAGAGGAGGAGGGAAGCCGTTCCGACGGCATCCAGGGTGGGAAGAAGGTTTCCATCATCATCATCATCATGATGATGAAGGACTGAGGTAGCCGAGCCGCTGCAGAAACAGGTTGGGATCGTACTGCTGCTGGTTTCCCACCCTGGGCGCAGTGAGGCGGAGCTTCGTTGACCATATTGACGGAGGGCTCTACTCTGCTGCGTGAGAAGCAGCTGAATCCAGGCTCAAGACCTGGAGAGACACGCAGGAGCAACCAGGAGCTGCTCCACCTGCAGCCTCCACCCTTCCTCAGCCCCGCCGCCCCGGCTACAAGCGGTCCTCCAGAAGGGGCGGAGCCAGGAAAGAGAAGGAGGCGCCTGGTGGAGGCCAGAAGTCTGAAGTATTCAGCTGCTTCTCATCACACTGATCACTTCATCAAAGTTCAGAGGCTGGTTCCTCAAACGCTCCCAGCTCACCGTCCCGCTCGGCGTCCAAAGGGACGCGCAGGACGCAGCCTGGGGGGGTGTGGGGAAGACGTCCAGCTGAGGGTTTTGATGGAAGCGAACGTCTGGGAGGTGGACGGGTTACCTAGATCTTGACCTCTCTATAGCCTTGAGCTCCTTGTCCAAGTCCTCCTTCTTGGAGTCCAGGGGTTTGCTGTCCTGCAGGAGGTTCTCGTCTCCCTCGTCCTCAGACTTGATCTCTGAGCTGACTGAGGACGCGCTCTGGCCCTGAAGACCGCCAGACAGAGCTGCAGGAGGACAGAGGACACCAGCGGTTAGACATCATCTGACCTTTACCAGGAAAACCAGGAAGATCCGGAAGGTTCCACAGGATTTAGGAAGACTGAGGAATGTCAGGAAGGTCAGGGATGGACGACGACACATGACATCATCATAATATAACAGAAAAGCAGCTCTGCGATCATTTGCTGCACGCTGACGCTCTTCCTCCTCTTCCTCCTCTTCCTCAGTCCAGACCTTCTCCTTTAGGTCTTAATGCTCAAAGTTCCACTAATTTATTCACCAAATGGTTTTTATTATTTATTCTGACTGGTTTCCAGCACAGAGTTCAGTTCATTTTTACTCTCTATCCCTCCATCGATGCGGCTCGCCAGCAGGATCCCCCTTTTGTTTATGTTTGGGGTTACCATGGCGACAGCCTAAAAACAAACAAAACGTCTATCTGACAGGATGCCTGAACGGACATCATACGACTAAAAAACCAAACCCAGCGTAATAGAAAGCGGCGGTCACCATGGCGACGGGGGCGGGTGGATGCTCAGGCCCCGACAGGAAAAGGGTTAGACTGGACTTTCAAAGTAAAACCCACTGAAAAGATTAAGCTGAAGAAAAAAAAAAAAATGGAATTTCATTGTTTTCAAAATAAGAGACTTGATTTTCTAGATGCTGGATTATTGCATCTAATCTCCTGATGGTTTTAAACCAAAAGTCTAAAAGGGATTATTTTGGACTTTCACAATAAAACTAATTCATTCTCAGGCTTATGTCCTAAATCAGTTTTAAAAGGAGGCCTAAGTTAGATTTTTAAAGTAAAAGCCTCAATATTTCACTTCCTTATCCTACGGCGTCCCACAGGGCTCAGTTTTAGGGCCCCTGCCTCTGGGTTCCATACTGAGAAGACGTGGGATTGATTTCCATTTTTATGCTGATGACCAAATTCTATTTGGCCCTAAAACAGGGAGACGGTCTTTATTGAACTGTTCAGACATTAAAGCCTGGAGGGTCCTGAACTTTTTACATTTTAACGAGAAGAAAACTGAGTTTAGAGTGTTTGGACCTCATGACTCCACTGCTATAGACCAAGGAACCCTGATACCATATTCTAAATCAAGCGTTCTAAACCAGACGCTGATTTTAAATGGGAAAAGCTAATCAGAGCGGTCATCATATCATATTTTAATCAAGACGACTGGCTCACCTCAGGGTAACTTAGAAAGGTTTTGGTCTTTAGGAGGAAACAGGATCATCCAGAGAGGTTAGAACACAAACTGAAAGTAAAGGAGTCAAACCCACAACCTGGTTACTGCAAAGCGGCGCCATGAAGACTTAAACCACTGATGGAAAAACACGCCGGACTTTCAAAATAAAGCTTAGAATCAAAGTCTTACTTTTAGCTTCTCATAACCAGCGTGTTTTAAAGTGTTCTCACATAACAAAAAGAATGTGTTGGACCTTCAAAATAAAGTTGACCAATGGTTAAACATGAAAGCCTTCCACATTAAAAGTTGAGGTTATTGATGATTTGAACCAAGAGATGTTTTAAAGTAATGAGGTGAATGTTTCATGCCCCCTGGTGGAGAATCCAGATCGATGTCCTATTTTATTCTGACGGGTCAGCACTGACTGATGCTGGGTGAGGATCTCATGTTGGGGGTGTGGGGGGTGGGGTGTGTGTGACAGATCTTACCGCGGTAGGGGTCGGGCTGGCTGAGGTCCGGCGAGGTGGCCGACTGAACCGGCAGCTGAGGCACCGACACCTGACCCGCCATGGAGTGACCTCCTCGCAAACTGCCGCCATCTTCTCTGTGGGAGCCCACCTGGAAAACAAAGGAGACCCAACCATCAGAGCTGTCAGCAGGGGGCGCTGTGGTGAAACATGCCGGCAGTAAACAGCATCCAAGTGAAAAAATAAGATTTCTGAGCCCAGAACTGATCCATGACGCCTCACTGGAGGAGCTGCACCGACGCCTCCATCATTAGCCCACATCCACTAACTGCAGGGATTAAATTACGGAAAATTAACAGAAAAATTAAGCTTTAAACTTAATGAACCTAAAATCAGATTTAAGCTGAGCTTAAGATGACCTGCAACTCCCTAGAAACTGATCAGGCTTAAATCAGGATTAAAATTAAACTGCGACCTGATCTTATATAAACCACAGTTTGAAACCAGTTTATTGAGAATAAGTCAGATTAAATTACGCCGGTAATTGGATAGATTTAGAAATAATTCCTTTTTTTCTAATGGATACAGAGAAAATATTTGGTTAATAATTGGACTATATATCTAGAGAAAAAATTAATGTTTTAATTGAATATTTAACGGTCATTTGCTAAATTAACAATTATTAAATGTGATTATTAATAATCTAATCTAGTGAGTAATACTAACTGGGATTAAAGTGGCTGGATTTGGTCACAATTTGTTTGTTTTCATTTTTTTTTATAGATTTGTTGATTCCAATAAAATTTAACTAAATGAAATTAAAGAGTGAGAAAAAAATGTAGCTGGATTTAATTTGGAATAATCTGGATTATATTGGGATTAATTTAAATTGGAGAGAAACTAATGATCCAGATTAAACTGAGATGGATATAATCCTATCTAACCTGAGAGTTTAATGGGAAATAAATTCAATCTCATTTATAAATATCTTTGATTGAGCTGATCAGCAGCTCTTTGGAGTAAAACTGGGATTGGTTGGATTAGATTATAGTAGAATTATCGTACATAAAGAACTTTATTTTTCAGTAAATTATTGTGAATATTTCTTCACAATAATTAAATAAAGTTGGGCTACAGTGGATAAAATCTAATATTTTGGACTGTATTTAATTAGAACCGAATGGATCTAATTCAGATTAATTTAGATTTATCAAGTGAAGAAATCCTGGATTAAACGGGATTAAATTGGCCTTCAGTTTCAAATGAATCCCGGTGTTTAAACAGGAGGAAACAAAGCCGATGCGAATGAAAATAATCCTGAAAGTCGGACAACCATCTGCTTTATTGGCAGATGCTTCACTTTATTCTGAATAAATTCACATTAAATCATTTTTATGTTATCTTTATTTTTAATCTCCATTTTTAAAAGTGTTTTTCATTGAAATAAAAGTATAATTCTCTGTAGTTGTGTAAATATTAATAATCTGTGTGTAAAATTCTTTTTATTCTGTTTCTAGATGTTCTGCCTGCAGAGCTGCTGTAGTTCCATCTTTAGCCAGCAGAGGGCACCGTCCCTCCTCCTAATGAAAGAAGTTTCTGTTGAGAGTTTGCGGCTCCTCTGGACTCTCCTTCCTCCTCCTCCTCTTCCTCATGTCCATCAGCGTCTGTCACTTTTAGTCCGAATGTAAATCCAGACGTCAGAGATGAGCTTTTCCTTCAGCTCTGGAGGTCTGACCATCTTTTGTTTTGCCGTTTCCTGGGTGAGCGTAGTTTGCTGGATCCCGTCCATCTGTCTGCCACACACAAACACGCCGCAGCACAACTGACAATTATCTGAATGCCCATATGTTTAATTGTGGGATTTCTAATTCCCAAAGCTCGGAGCAGCTTCCAGCGGGGACTCGCTGTTTTGGCACAGGATGTGATTGGGAAGCGCTTCAAAATGGCCGCTCCCTGGTTTCCCTGGGCTTTGTTCTAATGTGAGCGGCTGGGCTGACGGATCTGAGCCCGGAGAGACGAGGACGCAGCAGGGAGCATCAAGAGGAGCCCGTTGAAGGAGTCCAGACTTGGACTAGGCCGCTTCCTAACCTTGAACTGCTGCTCAGAACTGGACCATCTCTGCTCCACCATCTTTGCTTTTCTCTCACTGATTGTTTCAGGTTTCTCAGCCTACTTCCTGCTGCCAGACGGGTTCTGTGCAGCTGATTTATCGATACTATGGATTATCCTGTAATCCAGTCTGGTTGATCTCAGTTAGTCTT